ATGATCGTATTGAATTGATGTTTGTCGTTGTTCATTAAGATGAGCGGTGCGCGCGGTGAGCGTTTTATTAAATTTTATTGGCTTGTATATTCATACGACGGGACGAACAGCTCGGTAATAAATTAAATTGGGATTATTAATGAAAGTGTTTCGCGGATATCGGTGCGATACGTCCGTGTGTTCAACCCTGCCGCTCACATACAAAGTACAGCGACAACCCTGTTAATGACGCGGGCTTTTTGGCTAATGACCGCCATTATTGCCTCTCAGTCCGTCCCTGGAAAGTGAAATGGAGAGACCTACTGTCGATACGCAACACTTGGCAATCACTTCATTTTATAACAAGAACCCTACAAACAGGCGATAAACGCAGTTATGCACACATCTTAAGTGCATTATAATTGCTGGACGTGCTTGAGTAAAATAAATAAATAAGAGCTAACGACATAATTCTGAGTTGATGGAATAAATTGCTGCGATTACCTATGTTAGTAGGGTGTGTGAGCCTGCGGCAGGACTGTGGACTGTGTACCTTAGCTTGTTAGGTCAAACATCTTGCTTTGGTCTCTCGTTGCGTTTCTTCTTTATAACACGATAGTTATTAGAAAAAAAGATACCGAAAAAATAAGCATTATTTTAAATAACTTTGAAAAATGTCAAACCTCTAGGAACCGATTCACAAAATGGAGAGTTAATAAAAAAATACGTTCGTATTTGCTAACTTAAGTATTAATTTTATTCGCAAAATATATCTTTATCTCGACATTTTTATTAAATCGAAGTTTTATACGAATTTATAACCACAACATTGTTATCTATGCTATAAAAATTATAGATGTTATCGCTTAAATAGATAGATATTTATAAAAATAAAAAAGAATCTCAATTGGCGTGTGTTTCCTTGTCGAGCAAAAGCGATCATGGCCGTATTACTTATTAATATAAAATGCAAATTATTACTAATATTGTAAATTTTAAAGTGTTTATTTGTTAAGTAGGATATTCACACTTTTATACTGACGCGCATAGACAAATAGATTTGATCTGTTATAAACTGGTCACAGAACGTCACAAAATAAATTAACGCGTTCAGAAACGCGGGTAACAACTAGTATTTAATATAAAAACGTTATCAAAATGAACGTGTCAGAAAGTTCCTAATTAATAACTGCCATACTTGTTTTATTTTTCAAAGTTTCGAAGCATAAAGTTGTAATCTCATTATTTAAGTAAACTACCAAAAAAGCATTTCATTAATCATAGCCACTCGTGTTCGGTGGTAGACCAGAGCACTTGATATTTACATATATTCATTAATTATACCTTCGTTTCCTACAATTAACCTTGAATTCTAATCATTACCGTGCACACGATATTTTGTATATTTTTAAAAACATTATGAAAGTAATTTTAAAAGATATCTTAATTTTTCTTTAGGTAGACTTTCACGCGAACATTTCTTTTTAAAGGAAGAAATATTAATCAGGTTTTTATATGTTTATTTTATTATTAGGTACCTATTAAGTATTGCGCTGGTTATAAATCTTAGCTGTCAACATTTGCTTTTGTTGATCGTTGATGCATTCTTGTTGGAAGAAAGTGCGTAAATGTACGATTTATATATTATTTTTATGTACCTACGCAGTTACTTACCCCTATTAAGTTAGCGTAATTATAAATCACTATCAAGCAATAATTCACATTTATTGCTCAGGCAAAAAAAATGCATTTTCCGTCTTTTGAATATGAGTTGTGACCAATTTACTGCCAACTTCTACGAAAGCTCTGTCTGTTGAATAAATTATTCAAGGTTTTGATTTGTTTTAATTAGGAAGTAACTTTAATTTGCTATGCGATCTGTTAGTAAAGTCTCTATTAGCGTTTATAAAAGATACCTAGTGCACAGTCTACGTAACTATTAAATACCAGTTGAGTTGACAATGATACCTTACTGGCCTATAAGACACGTGTCTGCTTAACCGGATGCTACTAAACGATGACTAAGCTATAACTGTTCAGTAACCACCACTATACTAAGTGAATAAACATCTTAAATACGCAGATTTAGCCATTCAATTTTAGTCTAAGCATTCTAAGTTCAAAAATATGATGCCCACAAAATATTTATAAAGCGTTGGAAAATGAAATAAAGCTGCTCATTCATAGTAAGATAAATACAGAGCCTATGAGAAAGTATAATATATTACATCAAGATTTACGGATTTAACACGCCACTGTCGTTGGGAGGTCTTTGTGACCGCAGGCATATCGGCTCGGGGCCCGACCGGTGCTTGTACAATCGCGATCCGTCATCGCTACTCGCCACAGCCACGCTTTCGTGTGACCGTTCTCATGAATTCTAATAATCTGACCTCATTCCAACACACGATTATGGCAAGCTTTTAAATAAACCCTACAACCAACACAAAGGTCTCTTCGACTGTATGTAGGCACGTTGAAATTTACTTTAAATTTGTGCTTTTAAAGCGTTTAAACTCAGTGTTCAACTAGATTCGTTTATTCAGTTTAAAAGCAACATTTTTATACATGATATTAGTATACGCAGTGACATTAGCCTTGTTTACAGTACAGGTGTAAAAGTATACACATTTTTCATGACAAAACGGTCCTTTGGGGTACAAAGCGGCAGAATGCGTAGCTCACGCAATAACCTAACAAAGCTTAGTTTTCCAGGGTTAGTAAGAAGCAAGTGAGGTGAATGCAACATTTACTTTATTATTTCGAGTAGGTAGCGGCAGTTAAGTGGCTCGCTGATGATTAATTCGTCGGTTCCATGGAGTTTTTGTTCCACAATTAGGCCGGTGGACACGAACGGCCATGTCGACTTGCGTGGTCTATACATTGTTACCGATGTTAACGACTCACCAATTCCAGTTCCGTTCCTGATAATATATTGCTAATTAGAAGTTTTATTTATAAATATTTTCGTTAGTCTAACCGTTTCTCGGTTCTGAATAACATAAACTTAGATTTATTGAGAGAAAAAAATAGTTTCGTGTAATGCCGGTAGCTAGTCCATTAATATTTAAAGTTGTAAGCAAAGTAACGTCATAATTCATTTTAATATACATATAATAAAAGATTTCGTAATTAATTAAATCTTCCGCTTCGGTAAATTATTTTTACACTTTAATTTTAATTGTTGATAGGTAAAACCATTCTGCGCGTTAATTCATGGGAATATCGTTGTGACTAGTTTATTTTAATGTTTTTGTACCTACTTGCAAAACAATGAATTACAGAAAAGGATACAGGTATATTGCAAGTCTGCTTACAGATACTAAAACTATTAGATTAATTTATTAAACCTTGAACTCTTGACTTTGCCTGCTTGAGCGCACTATGTATATTAAAATAAGTTATTTAATTAAATAAGTCCACGATACGAGGTTGATAGTGATCGGTCTACTATGGGAAAGCCAATTAGGTGTGTTTTGGTGAGAGCCGGGTCCATCCATCATATAGCCACGCCCCCCGGTTCCGTTCCGGCGCCCTCCGCCAACACCACTTGGTGGCGTAACGTAACCTAGCATTGTTCAATTACATACACTTACTTAAGATAATCAAATCATTTCAATCTCAACCCAAATGTGTGTTAGTAAAAATAATTAATTCAATCAACACTAAGTGTCTGATTATTGGCAATTAAGCTATCTATAAAGTTACCTAACACCTGCTTGTTTATATTATTACGAGTAAACACATACATAGATAAATATCTAACAAGACTAACTAATAAGTTATTCATAACACAATCTACATAAAACGATAAAACTGTGACAATAACAAACAACTAATTTAAAGTTCACTCTCATCAACTGAAAATCAATTTAGAATCGCGATACTATCGTGTTGCTATCGCACTCTTCATAACTGTCATATTTCTGACTAGCATAGCTAAGTAAATATTAAGTCCAGTGAGTTAGAGCTTTCGTTTGTTGGAGAGTGGAGTTTTAAAGAGTTCTTTGTTGGGTGGTGGTGTGTAGTCGTGACATTTGCCTGTGCGAGTGCGCACCTGCGTCGCGGAGGCAAGTAGCCGCGAGGAGCCGGCTGACGCGGCACGACATGTGCGACTAATTTGTTGCCAGCAAAGCGCTCATTACGCTCTCCCCGACGTCGCCCGCCGCCCGAGGTGTCGCCGACAACAATTTCGCCAGTAATTCTACAAATTGCTACACGCATACGGAAGTAGGCCACGTGTCACGACTCGACGCCATCTCAAAGGATGTGTGAAACGCTGGACCATTCATGTCTCAGTTTATTTTTACAATTATCTTTATGAATGGACAGTTTTTATGGCCGCAATTAAATCTTGCCAAATTATTAAAATACTCGTACAATTCGAGCGAACATATCGTAAAAGCCATCTCTACATTGAATTGCAAAGGTGGCCAGTGTATAATTAAATGTTGACGGATAATTTATAAACCTCGATTTGCAGTGGCGCACGCACTCGGCTAACCCGTAGCCGCCGTCAAGTAATAACACTAACAGCCATTAGCTACTTTCTGGAGCAGAACCGACTCCACTCAAAGTGTACAGTTAAAATTGTAGTGTCGAAGACAAGATTTGTGCAATTACAATTACATGAATTTATATCACTTGTGAAACATTTAGATGGTACACACACTGGACGCGGGCGCTCGTTAGCCGGCGGCGACACCCGGGGCGCACGTAAATCAACCGTTTTACGTCAACACTTTATAGCTCATTCAGGCTCGGCCACTTTATCACCTTGTTCTTAGCGCTGCAACAACCTCCGCACTCTCCCTCGAAACCGATACGGCACACTTTGTTGTTGTGAATTACGATTGTACCAGCCTATTGAATCAAATTATGATTATAATCTACAGCGGGGATCGAGTGCGCCGCCACGCCACGAACATCATCAATCATTCATTTCTGATACTTTGCCGTGTCTCTATTTGTCTATTGCTTTAGACAAATTCATTATTTTCTTGTTTACTAAAGATGCTCACCTGTCCGTTCTTGTCCATCTCGTTATTGGTGAGCTTGACCTTCTCGAAGGAGACGACCTGCTTCCGCAGCTGGTCGCCGGAGAAGGGCGAGTCGGGGTGCGGGTAGAGGCGCGCGGGCGCGGGCGGGTCCGCCTTGCCGGCCACGAGCCAGGAGGAGCGGTGGTACGCGTAGCGGTACCGCTTGCCGTCCACCGGCACCACGTCCAGCAGCACGGCGTAGCGCGCATCCGCGCGGCACCCCGCGAACGACACGCGCACCGTCGGGAACATGCGTCTGATAAACACAAAAAATACGCTCATTATAATTAAGTGCCAACATTCAACATTACTTATGTTATATTTAATGCCAGTCATAAAATTTAAAATGTTCTGACGAAATATAATTTCGTGACAAATTAAAACAACGTTAAAACTCAACTTTCAACTATAAATTTCCGATGGGGATGACGAAACGGACCTCACCGCGCTAATGACCCCATAAGAACCGACCGAAAACTAAATTAGACATTACGAATACAAAAAGCTTATAATTCTCGAAAGTGTTTTACGAGACCAAAACACATGCTCGCAATAAAAAAAGATGATTAATGCATCTTAACAAAAACCACCACAGATCCGGCCATGGACGGTGACTTGTATAATTACAGGGTGAAACGCGAACTAGGAAATCAAACAAATATGATGTATTCGATTTTAATGCACCCCTAAATGGGCCGAAGCGCTTCCTGCCGGCCTGCGACCGATAACATCTCAACATCGTTTATTTATGATGTAGTCCTTCTTATTATATTTTTTACAAAATTTAAACGGTGCTTTTATAATTTCGATGCCTAAACAAGTAGTCAGGGGCCTGTCAGAATACGTAACCGTCAACTACCAATTCGCCTGTCAGTCACACTGCGACCTAACGTCACTTCGTAGCCATCGAGCCGCGATACTTTACAAAAACGACTGGTCATTATTGTCAATAGGAACTTGTGGAATGCGAGCAATAAAATCCGGGAGTGAAAGAATGAATTAATAGCTGCCATAAAACACGGTGTCAAACGATCTTTGAGGTAAGTGTTATATTATCTAACGACGAGGTTATAAGTAGTAGTCGATAAAACTCGAAGGCAGCACTATTAAAGTAGGTCGCGAGACTCGAGACTCGAGTTAAGCGTCGTCATAAATAAATGGTATTGAGGTGTGTTTGGAATGGTGGTGTCATATCGACGGGATCTGTGGTCGTGTTTGACAATGAGAGGAGTCGCGCGTCGTTAGGTGGCGGCGACGGCCGTGCCACCCAGCGCGCCCAAGTAATGAGCCGCATCCATCACGCATAACAATCGATTGCGACCACCAATTGCGTCACTTGCAAAGTTGCAACTCCAATATCCTACTAATCGATTTTTTACCTCCTTAATCATTTTACCCAGAAATTGAGGTCAGTGGGTTTCATTTATCTGATGCAGCTGTTGGCTACCTACGCGCCTACTAGGGTAGGCCCACTGCTTCAAGTCATTCTTAATTTAACATTGACATAAACAAAAATGAAACGAGTTTTTATGGTAAAAAAAAAAATTAGGTAAGTAGACAAATTAATATTCGTTGTTCTAACTTAATAATACAACGATGTTTTCGAAGCTCGTTCTTTGTAGGATAACCTTTTACAGACACAATTTAGCAATACATAAAAATCGGTAAAGCAACTGCCACATCTACAAGTTACTTTGTATTCTTTGAACAGGCTTTGATGTAGATTGAGTTATGAAAGTAAGTAACTAACTAACCTGCTTTTACAATAATCTTAAGCCTCTTTAGACCTTATGCGATAAAGGAATAAAACTCTTTTTACAATCCACCTTGCAAAGTACTTAACCTTCAGTATTCCTCGTGACCTTTCAGTTAATAATTAGGTACAAGTTGTTAATGTCTTGTAGTGTGTTGCTTCAAGCAGCTCGGGGCAATTACATAGAGATACAATGTTCGCAACTCTGTTAGAATTGTGATAGCCTATTTATGTAAAGGAAACATAATCATAAAGGATTACGTAACGTCTTCAAATCATTAATATTGTAGGCACCAAGCTAACAATTGAAGGGGTTTGCAGAGATCGAGGTAACGATCTATATTAATGGCGCATTTCGCGAGTAATAAAGTTGGTAGAATCGTCGGCGGACCGTCGGTCTCGCGAATTTACATAATTCATTAATAAACGTCGGCCCGCGATGCCCTCGGATAAGCTTAACAAAATACCCAATTGAATGTATGTTTACTGACAAATGCGAGAACTTTTAACACAATTACCGAGTATGTAAATATCAGTTAGACCATCAAACAAAAATACTAGTTTTCTAGAATATATAGTCGTTATTATTGATAACAGTTTTGCGGAATAACTCCGCAGGATATTATCATTTATAATGTTTAGCAGTTGACGTGGGAATTATCGGTTTTCCCACATAACGTGGCTTATACCTATGTGTTGATGTTAATAAATTCCGTGTCGACTTCTAGCTTTGAATTCATTATGGTTTGATGAAGTCAAACGCGTAAAATTTTAATTACCAGAAATCGTATTTTATGTTCAAGCAAGGTATAAAATAATTAGTATCGGAACACACTGGGTAGGTATGACGTAAATTTAAACAATGAGTTTTTATTTTCTTTAAAAATAACTTGGTATTGAAATGTATTTATATATTTGCGGTGAGAAACCACGATTGTATGACATGTTACGTATGAAAGGAGCGTAATTTTAGTTGATCGAGTGCAACAATTATGGGGAACCACATCCGGAGCGAGGCGCGAATATGTCCCCATTCCTTGGTTCTGCCGTTATTGTTTGTTTGGAGAAAATTAAAGTGGTTTCTCAAACAATCACTTATTGTGTAAAGTTGACAAACACTACGGCACATTATCTTTCGTATGGCTCACGACACGATACATCTGTCGAATGTCCTATTAAACGTGAATTTATATCGTCTTAAATAATTTCATATTATTTCTGGTCGCGTTTTAATGCTAGACAAAGAACTAAAAAACTAATTGCCTAAGAATAGGAACCAACCTTAAAGCAATTGTTTAATGCAATTATATTCCATACGTACATCAAACAATACAAAGCTTGGCAAATTGGAAAATATTTTTTTAAATAAAGGTAGTATAAGGTTACACGGATCGGCATCGACATCGGATGCAAAACTTTTTGACAAACATCACTCTCAATTAATAGATAACAAATTTGGAATGCCAGATCACGCATCAAAAGCTGATAGATTCCGATTTTCGTCTGTTTCTAAAATTTTCTTTTATAATTATTATAAGCTACTCAAAATCGGTCCAGGCGTTTTTGAGTTATGCGCGTACAAACACATTTTGCAATTCATTTTTATATAAATAATATGTACTTAATAGATGAAGTTGTATCTTTTAAATACGAGACAAAGACATGATAACAAGGCTTATTACAAACTAAATAGAAGGAGATACAATCTGATTACAAGTTTATTTATTACACGTATACATGTGACCTTTTATTTAATTACACGGTAAATAAATAGCATTTTATTGTTTCAACCCCCATTTTCTTATTAAGTATGTGGTTGATTTTCAACTGTTATTTAAAATTAATACGTGTGTGCGATTCGTTGCGTGATCAATCGAAATTGTACCTTGAGCCATCTTTGTAAGTCTTGAATTGTATATTTATGATCTATTTAACTTGAGTGTGTTTTTTTTTGTTATTATATGTATGTTCGTGTTTCCTGTAGGCCTGTATTTTACTGTTTATTAATCAATAATTATGACAGGTATGGAGCAAATGTTAATTATTGTACTTATATTGGGTTGTAAACAACATTGCATTTTAATTGTTCTTTGTATTCGGTTATAGTTTTTATTTATATGGTAGCCATCTTTACAGACACAGACTGTTCGTGATGTTGATGTTTTATGCTATGCAGTGTAGAATAGGTAGGTACTCTCACTTTTAGATATAAAAAGATTGGTTTACAATAACACCTATCCTATCTTAACACGCTTTGTGTAAGGAACTTTGGTAAAAACACTATTTAAATAGTGTGATTGTACATGTATCTATGATTCTATTACACTACATTTATTATAGATTATTTCTTAGCTATACTTACATAACAAAGATAAGTTTGTAAGCTTCGAAGGCAACAAAGCCTTTTTTACACGGCAACAGTATGACGTGTATTTCTAAATTTAAATATGGAATTTGAATATTTGGGCATGCTATTATATTACTCAACTAAATTATTATGTTACTATTTTATTATCCCACTTTCACTCTCATCGAGTTTAAAATATTAAAGAAATATCGTTTTTCAATAGAAATATTAGTTTCATAAATATGTATTTATTTAGTAGGCAAGTATTTATAAAGTCTCTACGGTATGTTTTGAGCTGTGTAGCTATGTAAGTATGATGCTTTTGGTTTTCTAGTGGCTTCTCCCATCCTGGGTAAGCAAGGAGATTCGAACTTTTACGGATTAAAAACCAACCACCCATCTCCTACACCAGGCCAGGGCCTTGGTACATTGAAACCTTAGCTAAATTTGTTGCTAGGCTTGATCTACGGAGGGAACAAAACTCAAAGCATGGGATATATTTCTGTACTAACTAACATTATAAAGAGGTAAAATTTGTAAGTTTGTATGTAGGGGGTAATCCTTGGAACCGCTGGTTGGATTGCCAAAATTCTTTCACTGATAAACAACACGCTACGATCAAATGGACCTGAGCAGCGGTTGAAACCGCGCGAGAGTAGCTAGTTTCAAATATTTTCTTGGGGCCCACAAAATTATATTAAGTGTACTGTAGGTCTTACGAGAAGTCTCTGGCACAATGAACCGGGACAAAAATTCACACCTTTCATTTACGAATTTTACGATCAACTTCAATTTATCAGTAAGCATACCTAGATTTTGAGATAGCAACATAATTCAATATTAAAGAAAACAAAAATAAAAAAACAGGAAATTCCTAAAGAAATAATTATTTTACGATATTAACTCCGTGCGTTCTTAGGTTGGCATTCCGATGAAATATCACATTACTGTATTATCTCGATAAAATTTATTTTAAACTACCTATGACATCGTCCGTGGTGTTGTTGAGACAAACGACTCAAACTATTTATCTTGAAGAAGACGCACTGAAATTAGTAGCAAAATATTTATGAAGATGCAACGGGAGGCGTTCGTTTGCCAGGGATAAAAAGCACAATAGACCACCACAGACGGAGCCCAATATGGTTGATGTTCA